TGGTGGATGGGTGAAGGAGGTGGAGGAGGAAGAAGGTGTGAAGGTGCTTGGCTATGGTGGATGGTTGAAGGAGGTGGAGGAGGAAGAAGGTGTGAAGGTGCTTGGCTATGGTGGATGGTTGAAGGAGGTGGAGGAGGGAGAAGGTGTGAAGGTGCTTGGTTATGGTGGATGGGCGAAGGAGGCGAAGGAGGAAGGAGGTATAAAGGTGTTTGGCTATGGTAAATCCTTTGGCATACTCAGTTCCACATGGGCCCAACAGGGCCCAACCAGGTAGGCTAGGAGTTAGTAGAGTTAGGTCTGTGTCGTTTTGGCCCACATTAGGGCCCGTAGGGTCTGTCGGTTAGGTTAGGCCGACCTGTACCAGTTAGAGGCCTTGTAGGCCTCATTTGGGATTCAAGCCCTGATGCACATTTTGGGCACCAGACCCTGACCCAGAGGCTTTGCCGTTTCAGCAAACACTTGGGCGGTTGAGGCTCAGCCTCAGTTTGGGCGCCAAACTTTGAAGGCCCAGCCTCAGTTTGGACGCCCGACTTGTCCGCCGAGGCCGACCCAACGCTATATATAGCTGGATCCAGCCTCAGTCCGGCATGGAAGTAGAGGATTGAGTAGAGGCATACTTCAAGTGACAGTGGTACGGTAGTAGTCGACGATAGGATTAGTCTTCCAGCGCTGGGCGCTGATAGAGTAGAGTAGTGCAGAGAGGGATTGATGGTGGTGGAGGCCAGGGGACTCACCTAAAACTTACCTGTGTGGCCATTGTTCCATTTTCGTCTTCAGCACGCCCGTACCTGCATCAAGGTGCCACCTTTTGTAGGTAAGTACCTGTTACAAGAGAGAGAGAGAGAGAGAAAGAGAGGGAGAGAGAACCCCGAGAGAGAGAGAGAGAGAGAGAGAGAGAGAGAGAGAAAGAGAGGGAGAGAGAACCCTGAGAGAGAGAGAGAGAGAGGTTTTGCGATATGGGGATTCAAACTCAGCTTTGGCCAGAAACATTATGGGGGAGACTATTCAGGATTGACATCGGCAATATTTAGGTTGACGACATTCTCATGTCTTCCCCCGTCTACTTCGTTTTTTTTCCCCTCCTCATCATTAGGATATCATTAAATCTCTGCAAAAAAAAAAAAAAAAAATATCTGCTAACTTTGTCGCCTTGATTAACATAATCAACGCTAATCCCAGATTAGCACTAATCGCTAATCCCGGACTAGCACTAATTCGCGATTAGCATTTATTAACCCTAATCAAGGTTAACGACTAAATTAACAGATTAAAGTCTTGCAAATTCAGTTTCTTTTTTTTCGTGTTGTTACGTTACTAATTCTTAAGTTCAAACTTTCGACATTTTGCAAATCTGTGAATCTCATAATTTCGTCATTCTCGACATCCCGAAGTTTCGGCATTCCACGAAATCCGCAAATTCCGCAAATTCAGCATTCCGAAAATCCGCGAATTCTACACATTTACAGAATCCCGAAAACTTCGGTATTTCGCAAAATCTGCGACTTCCGCAAATTTCGAAACTCCCAAAAATTTCGATCTTCCGCAAATATCATGGAAATACGTAAATGGCGACTAGGGTTAGGACAGTATTTCTGTTTTTCATGAAAATCGTATTAAAATTAGGGTTTTTACAATTTTTTTTGTAAAATCAAGAATAGGCTGTTTGTAAATTTCATTTCTGAATTATTTTACGATTTTCCCTCTTCTTGTATTTTTCGAAACTTTGCAATTCTTCCTTGCGAAATTCATGGGAATTAGGTTATTACTGCAAATTTTCATTTGTCAAAAAAAATAATAAATCGTGATTTTGATGGAGTGGTTTCAAAATTTATTTTCTTTGCCCGTATCTTCGAAAATCGATTTACTCAACGAATTTATTTTCTGTCAGTCATAAATTATTCCGCGATTTTCGAAAACCGAATTACCACAGAACTTCTATGGCAGTTGGACTTAACTCACGAATTTCAATTCTTAGAAATTGGAATTCCGAAAAATTCTTTTATGAAAATTTTAATTATTATCACAAATTTCTAATCAAAACTCCGCGAATCTTTTCTGAATCCATTAACGAGTAAAATTTCTTTTGTCTAATAGATTAACGAACCCTTTTTTCTTCGTTTCTCTTTCAAAAACCCGAATTTTACCATCTCATGTTCATTATCCGATAGATGCTCACTAATTCTTAAAATCGAGAGATTTAAAGAAAAACGAAACAAGAGATTTTTTTTTTATTTTTTATTTTTTATTAGTACCCGAAATTGGATATTGCAGTCTGGTTGTTTGCCTGTCTGCGTGTTTTATTCCCACCCCTCTTTGTACTACAGAAGGGTCACGTCATCAAGTGCAATGGCAGCAAGTGCGACATCAGCAAGGGCCACGTCAGCATTGCCATGTCAGCATTGCCACATCAGTCAGTGCCACGTTAGCCGACAGATTACAGCTAACCGCAACTTATGCTCCGACGCAGTAAAAGCATCGCAAAACGCAAAGGGCGGCCAGCCGTAGTAGAGCAACAACGACCCCTGCCCCTCCCCTTTGCAATGGAGGCACAAGGCAACCCCACGGTGGACAATGTCGATGTCGGGGCAGAAACCCTGACAAGGGTATCTGCCCGGTATTTTTAAATGTCGGACGGTGTCTGACAGAGTAAAGGGTTATCCGGGTTTCATAACTTAATGAGATGAGTTATCTGGCGAAAGTTTATTCAGACCTGGCCCTACGTAGCACCGTGTTCGCGTTCGGAGGCGAACGCGAACAAGCGCCCAAAACCCTTCGAACGCGAACATAAAAAAATTAAAAAAAAAAAACAACAACAAGTTCTCAGAAAACTCTGAAAACAATATATGTTATGTAAAAAAACAATACAAGCAACTTTTGCCTTGGAGTCATGTTCACATTCGTAGCCAATCATGAGTTAAAAATCAAAAACCGATTTTTTTTTTTTTTTTTTTTTTTTTTACGAAAAAAAAATATGTTCGCCCGAACATGTTCGCGAGCTGTTCGCGTGAACGCGCGAACACGTTCGTGCAAACGTGATGGGGCGCGAACACGTTCGCCGTGCTACGCAGACCTGGCCTATGAATGGGAGACGAAAACTTTTAGATTTTCAGTTCGGACACGTGTGGCGTCCGAGAGTAACAATAGTAGCTGGCAGTGCTTCGTTTTTTTTTTGAAGACGCAGAAGAGCATGGACATGGAACGGCTAAAGTTAAGACTATTCTACCTAAAATAATGTCGCGCGGCTGCTAAACCGCGCGATTCAGGGCCTAAGTAGGTTGAGAAGGGGTCGTCGCAACAGCGGTTGGAACTACGGCGCGGAGGAAATAGGATTTTTTTTTTTTTTTTTCAAGTCACCAGGGCTTTCGCGCCGAGGACTGGAGGGGATGCTGTTGTGGCCTGCTAAGTGGGGCAGCTGCTGAGGCTGTGGACCGTCGGCAAACCAGCCAGCCATGGAAACAGGCGGGCCTAGCAAGGCCGCTGGAGGGTGGCCTGCTGGGTGCCACACCCCTTCATATAGAAGGGTTGCTCCTATCTCTATGTGAGATAGGAGCTAACCCAGTAGGTAGCAGACCAGCCTGATATGCGACGGATGCAAGGATCGAAGCCGGAATGCCAACTAGGCTGGTTCCTTATGGAGCAGCCACCACAGGGGCAATCGACGTGGCCGATTTCGACCATACAATCGTTGAGATGGTGCGGCGGAAATCCGTCGCGCGCCAGGATTGGCATGGATCTTGCGCAAAGATGACACACATAAATCGAAAAAGAAAAAAAAATGTAAAAGTTTTTTCAAATCCAGTGGATTCGAACTCAGACCTGCATATCACAAGGCCGTACCTGAAACGCCATGTGAGGTTACATTGTCGCGCGCATCGGCTCCCGCTTTTTTTTGCAAAGGCGAAAGCCCTCCCGACCATGGCACGTAGGAGTTAAACAAAAATTAAACAAAGAGACAACTCAGGGACGACGCATAATTAACACCGCGAACCACCGAGACGGGCGTGGTCACGTCGTCCCTTCGTCGCTCTAGTCGAGTGCGCCAGCTGTACATCCCGCGCTCCCCCACGACAGGATAGGTTCCCGCGGGGCATAAGCTTGCTTCCCTAAGGGGCTGTCACCACCCTTAGTGGCGTATCCGTACCAAATTACTGACCCACGTGCGAAAGTTTTTACATGCAGTTGCAGAGGTGGGTCAACCGATGGTGTTTGCTCGCTCGTTGTAGTATAGATACCCTTGGCTAACGCCAAGTGGACCCAAACGTCGTCTGTTCCTAGGGCGCTAATCTCCTAGGTGCGGAGCAAACGTCGGTCGACTAGGAAGGTCTCAACCAAGCGTGAAACTCTCAACTTGATCCTAGTCCCTTAGACACGCTGTCAAAAAAACATTTATAACATTCATACATAATATTAATTATAGTCGCACTCCTCACATCCAAATAAATCGACCTGCAATGATAACCGAAATAATTTGAATAATCACATGATACATCTAAATAACACAATATCAAAATAAAATCCGACCAACCTGGGTCGAAGTCCACAAAAAATATACAACCGCCAACGAGGAGTTGGTTCTCGACAAGAACATAGATGCAACCAATAAGGTAATCAGCTGCCTTAGTTTTGACTTGATGAGACACGTTGCCAAAATCATTCATTCCGGCCTACGACCGACTTAGGATTTGGTCCGCGCACACCCGTTTCCATACGTTTTTCAATCTTCTTGGATGATGGGCTGCGTTGTGAATGATTCTTGATCAGGGGCATTGCTTGAAATGTTTCATGCCTCTCCCTCTAGGAAGTGGTCTGGGTACTCCTCCTTGCCCGAGCACAAGAGTCGGATCTCAGAAGTCGGGCCGTCTCCACCGAATCTGCAAAGTACCACCCCGTAGAAGAACGGTCCACTCTGGGTCGATAAGCAGGGTCGATTCCTAAAGCAACGAACCCCCGCCCTAGATGCTTCATTGAGAGAGAGGATGTATCCACTGCAAGTAGCTTTCAATTATTTTTCTCTCTCCTGAGTTCAGGGTAACTTGGACGAAAAGAAGACAGAGGAAATAAAGAAAGAGAATCATTTGAACATGTACAAACATATAAGGTAATTCAGGATAGAGCGGGTAATCCTTAGGAAAAGACTAAATCCATTTGACCTTATCTGCTTTATTTCAATCGGATTCATTTTACGACATGCACTGGATTATTCTTTTTCAGAACAGCAAGTCACTTTAAAAAGTAGGTAAACGAAAGGTACAAACAAAACAATCTTTTTCCTCATCTCGATAATGCATTAACCATTATCCTTTGCAAGCAATATTCTACCTACCTGCACACACAAAAACAACCAACAGGTCAAGAAAATCCAGCAATCCATACTCTCGTCAGATCTCATTTTTCACATGCATGACCACACACGCTTTACTTAACCTTTTCATTTGAACGTTCAAAACAAACGGGGCCAAGCAAAATGTGGGTTCACACAGGTGTGACAGGAATCCGAGTCAATCAACTGACTGACCTTGAGTGAAGTGGCGCCGAACGCGCCCTGGCTCACTCAAGAAAGCCAAGAAAGAATATACTTGTCGCCAAAGAAAACTGTTGTCCCAAGGCAAGTCTCAAGCCAACTGCTTGTCCCAATCTGTTTCCCACTCGCAAGTCCCACACGCGATAGTCCCATATTCGATCGCGGCAAGTCGCACGAGTCCCAAAAATAAATGTTGGTTCCTAGACAGTCCCAACCGGTCCCACATTTGTCCCAACTGGTCCCAAGTGGTCCCTGATGGTCCTATGCCACCAACCACCTTGTCAAAAGACCTTTGACCACAATAACTTCACGCTGCACTCCTAAAAAAATAAAATGAGTCACACTAAACCCAATCAATCTCGAGATTGCCGCTGTGACTGCATCCGCCCCGTGCGGTCCCCACTGGTCCTAGCCAGTCCCAAGTGGTCCGGTACCACTGCCGCAAGAGCTGAGGCAGTCCCAACCCCCAACACTCGCTCCTCACGCAGATTTCATAGTGCCGCGCGCACCAATTGCCACCACATCACGTTGCCACCGCCGCACACTTTAACTCCAATAGCACAACCTCATCAAACAAAACAGACGCCGTGCTGTAAAAAAAAACTATGCCGTTGTCGTGCAGCAAATTTTCGTTGTCGTGTCGCTAATCCAACATCATTTCCACACCAAGGAGAAAACAAGTGTCGCTGCGCCACCAATCCGGCAGCATCTCCCCACCCAAAAAAAAAACAAGTGCTGCCGCATCGCAAATCCAAAAGCACTTCCCTGCCAAAAGAAAAATCAAGTGTCGCCGCGCCGCAAATCCAGCAACACTTCCACACCAAAAGAAAAATTAAGTGCCGCCACACTGCAAGTCCAGCAGCACTTCCCTGCCAAAAGAAAATCAAGTGCCGTCGTGCCGCAAATCCGGCAGCACTTCCTCGCCAAAAGAAAAATCAAGTGTCGCCGCGTCGCAAGTCCGACAACACTTCCCTGCCAAAAGAAAAATCACGTGTCGCTGTGCCGCAAGTCCGGCAACACTTCCCCGCCAAAAGAAAGATCAAGTGCCGCCACGCCGCAAGTCTGGCAGCACTTCCCCACCAAAAGAAAATCAAGTGTCGCCGCGCCACAAATCCGACAACACTTCCCTCCCAAAAGAAAGATCAAGTGTCACTGCCCCGCAAGTCCGACAACATTTTCCTTCCTCAAGGAGAAGCCTGGCCAGAGGGTGGAGCAGAATGCCCCAGCCTAAGCTATGGCTGCCTTCCTCCTCCTTGTTCTCCTCCTGTAGACCTCTTAGTCTCCTCCAGCAGCAGTCCTCCAGCTCCCTCAGCAGCTCCTCAACACGTCATCTCAGCACTCTATGTAGTGGTTGTCACACACTAGCAGAGTGAGGGCTTTGTGTGTCAGCTGGGGGACAACTGCCTCTTTTGTAGTGGTTGGGAAGTGTTTGGCTGCCTCAACAGCCCCCAAGCAAAATTCGTCATTTGCCTAGGGCGCTTGATCCGATCAAGATCAAGGGTATGAGGCTGTCGCACCTGAGCCACACACTTAGGGAGGCAGTTACCCTCAACTGCCTCCTTCCTTTTTCCCTTTTTTCCCTGTACCCAACACTTTATCAAGTGTAGGTACGTCACAAAAGTGGTTGCACACAGCCACTTTCCCCCTTGTCCCTTCAGTTACAGGCTTGGCCTGAATAGCCACATTCAGGCCAGTTTAGTCTGTACTTGAAGCACGGTTTCGGCCACGTTCGTGGTTGTGGCTGTTGCTTTCCTCCCCCTTGCATTTCTTTTGCCCTCCCCTGAAAACAGGGAGGGTAGTTGTCAGGTTGGGAGAGGTAAGGAAACAACTCGTGAAAATTCACGAGTTCAAATCCCGACGGGCTCAGAGCGGGGTGCAAAAAGTACCCCGCCTTTGATGATTTAAAAAAAAACATTCGCTAAATAAAAAAAACTGAAACACTTCACGCGCATGGCCTAGGTGCCTTGCTACCTACAAAAAAAAATTCAAGGCCCATAAAATTGGTTCACGCCACCAAAACAATATTGGCGCAAACCAAAAAAATACAGATTTTCATAAAATTTGTTCCCGTTTTTTTTTTTTTTTTTTTTTTTYTTCTTCTTCCCCCCCCTGACAACAGGGAGGCAGCTGGCAGGTCGGGAGGAGTAGGTTCTCCTCTCTCCCATCCTCTCATTTCCCTCTCTCTCACTCTCTACTCAACTCCCACAGTTCCTCCTCCACCCGTGTGTCATGAGCCGCGAGATTCAAGATCTCGCGGTCACGAATATTCGTGCCTTCTAAGTGAGGAGCTAAACGTGCTCCCACACAGCCTAAAAAGGTTGTTCTTTTGCCTTTTGTTCCCACGAGGCTGTTGCCTCGTTTTCGTTTTGTTTCGTTTTTTTTTTTTTTTTTTTTTTCGTTGGCAACCCGTTCGGCATATTGGGCTGGCTCGTGGAAACCAACGAGGGGGCAGCAAAAAGGTGGCAGTGCATATTTCCATGTTCTAGCGAAGGATTCATTCCGTTTTGCTCATCCTGTCATGGGGAGTAGTATGTGGCCAACCGTAGGTAATTAGGTGACCCCCTTCTCACTCTCTCTCACACACCCACACACACACACACACACACTGATGTAGATTGTCGGGGTGCAACCTCCTGATGAGTCGGTGAAGGTCCTACGAAACAGTCTGGCACCGTCATGCCCGTTCCAACGGGAGCAACCAGTGCCTTGGATGACGGCGCATATGCCATTTTTTGTTTCACCATTTTTTTTTTTTTTTTTTTTTTTTTTGTAAAGTGTCGTTGGCATAGGCCAACGACCACGTTTGCTTGGGACGTGCCTTGCTGGCGCCTCCCCTTCCCTTTGCGATGAGCGGACCCAAGTTCGATCCCAACAGGGGATCGAAAAACATGGGTCATTTCTCGATTTTATATGTGTCATCCTTCGCGCAGTGGCCATGCTGTATCCGCACGGCTGTTTTTGGCCGTGAGATATGAAGATCTCGTGACCCGAAAATGGCAGCGCCTAGCTGAGCAGCTCCAAAAAGGAGCTATAGCCCATGCAGCGTATCACCAGGCTCAATCCCAGCATCTGTTGGGTGAAAGTTGAATACGGTACCTACTGGGCTAGCTCCTATCACAGGAGTTGTACCTGCCACCCTTCTATTTGAAGGGTTGCAACCCAGTAGGTCGCCTACTCCCTGGTCTAGGCAGGTGCAGTCCGCCTACTCCTTGGCCTAGGTAGGTGTAGTCCGCCTATCCCTTCCAAAGGCAGTCGCCCTGCCATAAACCCGGCTTGGCTTGGTTTAGTAGGCCCGACAATCCACTCCTTTGGTCGTGGATTTGCCCTCGGACCCCTAACCGTCCATCCTTTTAGAATGACACGGCACTTTGGCCGTGTTCGCCCTTCTATCCGTCGCCGCAACCCTGCAGCTAATGTTTCAGTCTTTCTAGCCTTCAATCGCGCGGCTTAGTAGCCGCGCATCATTATTTTAGGTAGAATAGGTCTAGTCTTAGCGTTTCCACGTTCGTTCCTCTCTGCGGCCCTGCTAGAAACTGACGACCACCACCATTATTTCCGGATGCCGCATATGTCCGGACTAAGGTTCAAAAAAGTTATAGTTTCTCAGTCATAGGCTAGTCTGAATAAACTTATGGCAGACATCAGTCTCATCAAGTTCCTCAATTTAACGAAAAAGTTGGACAGCGTCCGACATTGAAAAACCCGAGCAGATACCCTTGTAAGGGTTTCTACTCCGACAACGTGACCGTTGGCTGAGGCCAACAGAGGAAAAGGTTAAAAAAAAAAAAAAAAAAAAAAAAAAATTGAAACTACAACCGAGGCGTCATATGGCGCAAGAGGAACTGAGGGGACTTAAGATCCCCAAAGGTTGTTGCAGACGCCCATTTTCACGGGCAGTCTTTTCGTTTTAAAGGTAAGTTTTTATTTTTTTTTCTTTTTAGATTTGCTTTAGATTTTTGTGTTTTTTTAAGAATCTATTGATTCCTTTTTCTTTTTATTAGAGCAATTAGTAAAGTGCCCGTTCATTTTTGACGAACGGGCAACCATTTTGGTATAGGATTAGCAAAATTGAATGAATCTGCCACAAAAGTGGCTACGTTCCGGGCATGGGTTTCAGGACATTGTACTTGAGTTACGAGGGACTCTCTGCGCACGTTCGGGCGAGGTGACGGACGGGTCGTTTCTAGTGGTCGAACAAACTTTTTTTCTGTGGCACCGTGTGGACCTCCAACAGTCTTTCTAAAGGCTGCCACGACAGCTCGTTTGTCACGATTGGAGAGAGAGAGAGAGAGAGAGAGGTGACTTTTTGAGTGACTTTTTGAGCCCCCTTTGGCCTATGGGGGAAGATCTGCGCCCGTTTGCTTGAAAAAACGGGCTGCAGATCGTCGCCTGTACCTGGCGCCAATTGCGTCCGGGTACGGGCGTGCGGGCAGGGGGAGAAAAACCCTGTTGAGCCTGACTCTATTTCGACTCTGTGAAAAGACTTGAAGGAGGCGGCCGTTGATTTTACACGGCGAGTTGCCCCCTCCACAGGAAAATGAGGGGGGGTAGGAAAAAAAACAAACAAAAAAAAAGTGACGGGCACGTACATGGCCGTGGGCGCAGAATAAATACAGGGGGTAGAAGAGTCTAGGGGGTGATGGGACTGCGCCCGTTCGTTTTTGAACAGGCTGCAGTCTGGCTGGGTACAGCCATTCCCTGGATCATGTAGCCTGCGGGGAAGGCCAGATGCCTCTGGGAATGGAAAGCTCTGGTTCCCCTAGGGGAACATCCATGATTCTGACCCTTGATCGCATGTCTTG